AAAAAAAAAAACCGGAAAAAAGAAAAAAAAAAAAAAAAAAAAAAAAAAAAAAGGGAAAATCTAGAAAAGCTGAAACCTTGTCCCAAGAAACATCAGGATCGAATAATTTCGCTACTTCATACGGAGACAAATGGCCGTTCTGATGCTGTTGCGGTTCGAGATTGAATTTGACGGATTTCCTATCTCTCATCATAATTTGCTAATAAAATTACAATGGTTACTTTTCCCAACGACTCAAGTGCAACAATAAAGAATCTTAAAATCACTATTTGTTACAAATTCAAAAGTTCGCGAGATCTCAGAAAGTGAATTGTAGAGAGAATGAAGAAAGAATATGTGAACGAGTAAGGTATTTCAGATTGGAAAGAGGAAGTGAAATAGTAGCTGATTAGCACTTGAATTAGTATAATAATAGTACAAATTAATCCTTTATAATAGTAAAATTACAATAGCAAAAGGTAGAATTGTAGATCCAATATTTTTTATTTTTTTTTAATGACGGGAGAATCGGCACTCGCTAGCCTTCGAGTGTGCACTGAATAAACCCTCAAACTGACGCAATATCTTATAAATTACGTCAGATAACTTTTAAATTACGTCAGTTAGGTAAATCGCATTAAACAAGTCCTGTACGACAGGCTCGATCGAGAAAGTATTGATTTGTTAATTTTAGAGGGAATTGATTTAGGGAATTTTGATGGCATGTGAGCAAATATGGCCGGCTAAAGACTCGGAAACAGTGTTGCGTGGGACGCGCACATGCTGCAATGGACTAACGGCTTGGCAGCCTTTTAGCTTCATAAGTTTGAATTTTGACTTGTAATCTAATCACTTTTTAAATTATGGAGAGTTAACTAATAATGAAATTTTAACAAATAAAATTGGAAAATAATGCGCACGTGACGTGACATGTTGTCCTTATGTCAATTTTCTTTGCATTATTCTATTTGTACGGAGGAGTTCACAGAATTAATATAGAAATTTCATATAGAACCCACCTCATGTGAACAAGAGAAGAAAATGCTATGTTACTCTCACAATTATCGTCGACCTCAAATCTATATGTGAGAGTGCTGTCAATCATAATGTCAAAATTATTGTACTTGCCCCCCAGGGCACATCCCAACTAGCAAAAATGAGGGCGCTTTAAGACTGACAGATCAGAGGTCGTGAGTTCAATTCCTGCAAGGTTCTTGGAAGGCAGATATTCTCCTGAAATGCAGGATTTTATCTTAGAAGGCAGGAGCTCTACTGGAAGGCAATGTGCAAAGATGGGAACGACTTGCTTGACACTTTGACAGATCAGTTGGGGGCTCTTGAGCACTGGTCAATTTGGCGCACAACCTACAGTTTAACCTGTCTGCAGCTTGAGGGGCCAAGGTGTAGACTCCAGGATTTAATCACTGTAAGGTGGATACCTGAATATCAAAAAAAAAAAAATTATTGCACTTGTAGAAGATTCAATAAAATAGTATCAAAAAAATCAACCCCTCGCCCTTTGTGTCATATCTGGAGGGATTCTATAACTCCTCCTGTTGTACATGAACGGCTACTCATTTTCTTTAAGCCTATGTTTGACGATCATTATTTAGGAAAAATAATGTTTTTAATAATGATTTTTAGCAAAATGTGTGGTTTAAAAATGGGGGAAAACTTTCATTTACGTGCAAAATATTTTATTATGCGAATGTGACCATACAGTATGCATGGGATTAGCTGCATCAATGGGATTTTTTATATTGGTTGGAGGAGAAATTAACAAACGTCTGATTGAAAATGAGTATATAGAAAAAAGCTTTTTCAAATAATTACTGTCAAACATGAGCTAATTTACTTTACAATACATATTGAGAATGTTTAAAGATTAATCGCATTTTCACTAATAATTCAATGAGTCTAGAATATGAATTAGTTGGTTTTCTATCTAAATTTTTAGAGATGAATCCAAAAGAACCTCTTAAAATGTAGAGGAAAATACAGGTATTAACTCTATTTTCATAGCAATCCATATATTACATCCATTATTTTTTTAATACCATTTATATTGCAACTTTTAAAGTGAAAAAGAAAACGAAAAGCGCTTCTTGCACCTTAATTATATTATTTCATAGCCCATATCAATCCGACAAACATGTCATCACGAGATGTATAGTCTATTTTTGAAAAAGTGATCTTCATCACTCAATTTTCCATGAAAAATTACTGAACAAAATCAAAAACCCCAAAATCGAAGATCACAAAAAAATTCTAATCATCACACAGATCACTCACGAGATTTGTAGTATCCATTTTCAAGAAGTGATATTCAGCATTAAATGGTGGTGATGACGAGGTTTCTTTTTTCATGAATATAAGAGCTCTTTCGAAACAGTAGATGAACACATCATCGAGGAAAGTTTAGGAAATTAATAGGGTGGAAAGAGTTCACAATATTTATCCAGCATTTCGATGTATAATGGTCACACCTAATTGGTGTATGAATTTCCATTCTGAAATCAGTAGGCTCTTTGTCGAAAATTCACCAATAATAAGTATTCCAAATCGCCCATTACCCATGGGTTCAATCTTCACCCAGCAAATAGAATGCGAGTCTCGTCCGGTGCCAACAACAAAACAGAGATTATCAACGACTTCTAAAGAGAGTAGTCAAAGAGGAGAAAGTTCAAAAATCAGTGATTGTAAAGCCAAAAAATGAAGTGGCACATACTTCTTCACGTAGAATAACCAACTTCATAACTATATTGTCAGATTCGAAGGAACTAGACTCACCCGCTGACAAAGAAGTTGTGAAGAGGACCACCCACTTGGAAATCAATGGGAAAAGACATACAGACAAAGTAATTGGTGATTCATTGCCAAAGAAGAAGAAGAAATGTCAATGTAACCTAACCATCAAGTAAGCATACCGATATCCCAGATTAATTTGTGTTTCGTGTAAATATGTATGTATTATTGTCAATGTATGTATTTGTCATTTTATTAAGTGACATCTACAAGCTAATAGACTTATGCTTAGCGTCATGCAAATGTTATATTGTTGTTCGAAATTCAATTAAGGAATGAAAATGGAATGAAACAACATGAAGGAAGCCAAAGAAAACCGACGTGGAAACCAAACGGTGGAAATATAAAGAAAAAATAGATGCCCAAACTTTGTGCCATGCGGTCGCATGCATGGCCGTCTACCGAGATTTAAAGGGGCCCTTCAATTACTTCATGTGGCCGCATGGATTAATACCATGCGGCCGCATGGTGATTTCCTGTGACCGTTGGGAGCCGTTTTTCTACTGTTATAACTTTAAAAGTGGTGGCTTTTCAACCTATCTTGACACCATTTCGTGCACACTTGGTGATGGCCTATAAATAGGTGATAAATCTAAAGCCAAACAAGGTGAATAATATTTTATGATCAATACTCATTCCAAAATCAAAGATCAAACAATTGATTGATATTCATACTCAATTTCTTCTTTGTGCTCCTAATGTTTTGGAGGATCGCACATATACTTTAGTGTTAGATCCTTTACAAGGCTAGTTATAATCCTACAAACCGTTTGCCAAAGATCCTTAAGCATCTCATTCAATCCCGAGAGGAGGCAAATATAGTTTGAGAACAGCGATTACGCGTTTGAACCTTCCATTTTATTTTCTTCAAATTTCTTGTGATTACATTTTCATTTTTGTTGTCTCTTCTTCATTCCTCTATATATTTCCAACATCAAACACAATGAAATCTGAAACATGAATTGTATGAGCACACCACGATTTACATGCAGCGGATAAAATGGAAATTCAACAACAATCCTCCCGTATGAAGTCGGAGCCTTTCCCCAGTAGGTCACGTGAATTGTTATGTGAAGTTCGAATAAAAATTAACAATAACAATACTTTGTTTCATACTCTCATTCCTAATTATATTTAAATAATTTAAAATCAGTAAAATGGTTCTGCAAGGCTCCGTCCGTCCATTAAATTCGTTTACATTTTTTGATGACATTATCAGTTTGCACATCCCCACTTTTAAGGCAATTATCAACGTTATGGAGCAAATAACATCTCATCATTCATTAAATTATCAATTTAAATATGTACATGTGTTATCTCACACATCTCGATACTGATAAATAACTTTTTCACTATAATAAAACTATGATCCAACCTGAGAATTTATATGGGGCACGATAAATGTATTCTTCAAGAACTACGTAATTTCAATCTTGAAGGCAAAGTTAACCGAAGCTTAAAAGACGATTTTCCAAAGATCATGCATTGATGATTTCATGCAGGTGTTAGACATGCCATCACAACATCAAGTTTTACACAAGATGCTAATGTTGGAAGTCAAAATACACAAATCAAGATGAAACATGGTTCGAACTAGATGGGAAGTTTCTCATATTTACGATGCACGAATTCTATCTTGTCACTGTACTAAAATGTGTCGGAAACGACCAATGCAACTTTTACAAATTAGGTGGATACCGTATTAGAGACAAATACTTTAGCCATATTATGAGCGTGCATAGGAACGATGTTGAAAATACATTCAAGGAACTACTGGCAGACACCCCAAATGAAGATGTTGCTGAGATTGCATTTATTTTCCTATCTCCATGTTTGCATTCACCACCACAGAGCCCAATGTTGTCAGTGACGACTTGATGCGCCTCGTCAATTCTCCACACATGAACTCTCCCCCATGGGTTAAGGAGTTATACCACATAACTTTCTCGTACCTTAAGAATGTGTTGGAATAATTTCATACGTGGGCTTCATATTCGATTGCAAATTTTAGGGGTTAAATGTATGGATCATGATGATATTTGTATTTGGACCAAATTTATTGAGTGATTAATTGAACATTTTACACCTTACGGGTTGTAATTAATATAATATGGTAATTTTAAGTATGTGGGCCGGAAATTAACCCTAATTAGAATTTTAGTCGTAATGGAACAGCTCAATTATTTCCTATATAAAGGCTAGGTCACCTTTTCTTTCCATATTGTTTTATTAGCTTGCCTCATTGATAGCTAATACTTTGTGAGAAGCAAAGAGTGGAAGATCTGGCTGCTATTATAACTATTATTCATATCAACGATGGTTTCCGCCGGTATGAATTCATTTTATTAATTCATTATTTGGTGATTCTTAACATGATTACAAATAAATTTCAACAATTGGTATCAGAGCCTTCATGTTGAAATCAAAATCCCTAATAAAATAATATTCCGTCTCGTTTTTCTGCTTGAATAATCAAAAGTTGGCTTTTCATATTGTTATTGTTTTCTGGCAATTGGAGAGATCTGTGTATTGGATTTAAAACCTTGAGTTTAAGATTCTAAAATTTCAATTTCAATAGGTGGCCGATTTTAATTTG